TGATGCAATTGAATAAAACCTTAATGTCTATAATATTATCTATTAGAAAGACAAATGGTAATAGAAGTAATCAGTTGTGTGAGGTAAAGCTAATGATTGATGAAAAAATTTTGATGCACAATTGATTATTTTACACTTTGATGTTAAAGCTTACTGTCAGCGGTACTATAGCTGGTACAGTACTGCGAATGCACTACTGTAGCTGCTACAATAATCGTGGTCCTCCTTTCCTATTTATTTCATTTCATTTCCTAATGCTTTCCCATTATAATTTATTTCCTTTACTACTATTTTCCTATTCCTCCCCTTGCCTATTATATATCCTTCATATTCTACTCCTTACCTATTTTATCTACTTATCCTCTCTTTATATAAGTGTTATTTTCTAAGGTTACAGGGGGAGGTTTTATGATTGCAGATTTATGAGTGCTACCTTTGATAAGTTCTTCCCCTCTGGGGCCTGAATCCGATGGCGAAAATGTGCTCCAGCTGTAACTCATCCGAGGTGGTGACCATCTCCAAGGGTCTGGGTGGTGTTCCGACCGTAGCTCAACCACGATGAGACATTTATCTTTCCTCACCTCCTCTCCCACGAAGTCCAGCAATCGCCAGCTTACTGCCCTCCCACCAGCTCACCTTCAGCAGGCCTCCAACCCTTCTCTAGACCTTCCCACAAGCCGCCAGCTTGTTGTTCCACCCCTACTCCTTCCAGCAATCATCTACTTGTTGCTCCCCCTTCCCTACATTCACTTTTTTTCCCTTCCCTTGTTTCCCAACCACCGTCCCTAGTTCTCTCTCCTTGATGTCGCCAACATCCCCTACTACCGTCACCCTTATTGGAGTCTGTGTTGTGTTTTTATGCGTGTGTTGTTGTTTGTTATCGTTATTTCAAGTTGCAAGAGTCTCGTTGAACCCTTTTGAATTCAGTTTTTTTTTTTTTTTTTTTTTTTTTTGTGTAATTTTGGTCTTTGGGTCTTCTTCCTCTGGTATCAATTGGTATCATAGCTATCCCAACCCTAGCCCAAGCCTAGGGTTCCCTAGCATCTACTCCCACCCAACACACTACCTACCAAAATTTTTATGCCCTAAAAGCTTCGACAAATGAATTTGAAACTCCCCAACCCCAAGAGCTTACCGCCTACAGTATTGTAGCAGCTAAAGTACCGCAGTTACTGTAGTTGCTACAGTAATCACGGACCCCCATTTCCTATTTAATTTTGTTCCTTCCCTAAGGTTTTCTCATTATAATTCATTTTCTTCTCTACTTCTTTCAAATTCCTCCCCTTGCTCATTATATCTCTTTCCAATCCTACTCCTTACCTATGTTATCTACTAATCCTCTCTTTATATAGGTGTTATTTTTTGAGATTACAAGAGGAGGTTATATGATTGCAGATTTCTGAAAGCTGCCTTTGAGGGGTTCTTCCCCTCCAAGGGATGTATCCGAGGGTGAGAAGGTTCTTCGACTCTACCTTGTCTAGGGTGTTAATCGTCTCGAAGGGTAAGGGTGGTGCTCCGGCAGTAGCTCAACCACGAAGAGACATTTATCTTTCCACAGCCCCTTCTCCCACGCAGTCCAGCAGTCACCAGCTTGTTGCCCTCCCTCGGGTTCACCGTCTACAGGTCTTCAGCCCTTCTCCACACCTCGACTTATTGTTCCCCTCCGACACACCTCAAGCATCCCATCAGTCGACCCCTATGCCTTCTAACAATTGTCTAATTGTTGCTCTCCCTTGCTTAGAGTCAAACATGTTGCCCCTTCCCCTATTTCCCTACCATCGGCCCTCGTTCCCTCTCCCTGTTGCCGCCAAAATCCCCTTTGCTACCGTCACTTTTATTGGAGTTTATGTGTTGTGTCTTTATGCTTGTATTGTTGTTTGTTGTTTGTTGTTTGTTGTTATTATTTCATGTCGCAAGGGTCTCGTTTGTACCCTTTTGAGTACGGTAGTAACATTTGTGTTTTTTTGTGGTGGTTTGGGTCTTTTTCCTCTGATATCACTCTTGTTGGAGTTTGAGACAATTTTAGGCATGGATTGATTGTCTAAAAACTTTATCACAATAGATTTCAATAAAAAACTATCAAAATAAATATAATTAGAGAGGCAGACGTCAAAATTTTGTGGTGATAGAGGATAGCTTTGATGATAACCACATATTTGAAGTCTTTAAACTATTAAATAGTGGAAGACAGGGTGGGTTTGTTGGCCCACGCGAATGATACTACTAAGGAAGTTAAGTCATTGAATGATATTTCAATAGTGAACGTGCATCCAAAAGTTTTTCTTTGTGATTTATGAAAACTACCCACCAATGAGAAATAGCTTTTACTATTGAGTTATTGTGAGGTTCTGAGCTAATATCCAAGGCACAGTATAAAATGATAGTAAAATAATTACAGGATTTGAAAAGTTAATTACAAGAATTACTAAATGATGGATTTATTAGGCCTAACACCTTGGTATGGTAGTTAGAAGGAAGTTTGAGAGGGAAAAGGGGAAATGGAGGAAGGTGAAGGAAGAGTGGAAAAGGAAGGTATCGGGGTAGTATATTTATGCCAAGAAGCCCTTTTAAGTTAAAAAAAATGTGATTTATGTTGCAGGATTAAATCAAGGTATAAACCGAGAATTGCATGAATATTCTAAGTTATGAATTTTAGATGTTTTACACCGAGTGGTGAGCTTGAGGTGAGCTTGAGAAAACTCGTTTTAAGAGTATTTTGTTGTTTCAGTTAAAATAATCATGTGTTAAATTAAGAATAATATCTTCCTCAAGGTTTTCTATATCATTTCTTGTGTTGTATGAATGCATTAAGAGTTTATGAATATTGATGAATATCTGCACATGATTATATAAATAACAACATTGAGTGTTTCACACATTGTCGATTTTTACATCAGTGAGATAGTACAGTGTCATTGCATATCCAAAACCATCACTTTAGATAGGATGTAAAAAATCTGTCACTTTTGAAGGACCCTAAGTGACAAGATAAGTACAAAACTCAAGTTCAGTTTAGCAATGCACCCACAGATGGATGGGCAGAAGAATGTAATAAATTAGAATTTGAGGAATCTCCTTTATCTTTGGGCAAAATTATCAGACAGTGGGATTTGATCATTCGTCAAGTTAATTTACAACCGGTCTACTATTCAGCCCACAGATCACATCCCCTTTAAGGTTATATACAAGTAGAACTCTAACACTTTTGAAGTTAGTGTAGATTTTAGTAGTTACTGAGACTGAAGCATAAATCACTTAGAGAAATTTAGATCTTACATGAGCAAGTAAAGGTAGTAGTTAACAAGCAGAATACTAAATAACAGAAACAAGCTAACAAGTCCATGAAGGCAATGATCTTCAAGGAAGAAAATTTGGTGTGAATTAGAATGAAGAAAGAGAGATTTACTGCAAGTTATTTTGAGAAGCTCAGGCTTGAAGTTGATGGACCATTCAGAATCATGAAGAAGTTTAATGATAACCCTATAAGATTGAACTATAGGAAAAATATAATATTTATGTCATATTTAATGTCTCTAACTTGTCTTCCTACTCTAAGGATCCAGATACTTTTGGAGAAGAGGACATAACCAGTCCGACCCAGGGAGAGATCTGCGAGATCGGTCCCTAAAGATCGAGATGGAATCCCATCCTGCGCGGGTCCAAAATGAGATTTTCCCCATCTTTTGGTGGTTGTCAGATTTTGTGGGCCGCATTTACATGGGAACATTTTAAATATTTTGTTAATTTTATATTGGGGGACTTCTGCTTTGCTTTGTTGGATGCAATTTAGAGAGCTTTTTTGGTTTCAACCCTAAATGAGTGTCTTTTTTCATTATGCAAGTAATGTGTTTGTAACGTGTTGTCATTGAAGTGTGTTCCGCTTTCTCAGAAGTTCTCGTAATTTAAACCACCCAAATTTTGTGTCATTTGCATGTGGGAGGCAACTTTCACATTTTCCTTTTGTGTGACAACCAAAGCAATATAGGTGCCTATCTTATATATTGTTGATGTTTTAGACGTGTTAATGTAGTCCATTTCACAAGCTAGTAAAATTTGATCAATTTCAACTGTGGTTGAGATGTTTTGAACAGGATTTACATGACATTACATTCGTCATACAAATTTTCATCATTTTGATCAAAATTATTGCTAAAGCCGTTTACAGGTATTTTTGGCATTTCAAATGTATTGTGTATTAGGTTTTATGAACGTAAGAGGTTTGGATGTTCTCAACTACAATTGAGGCAAGCTAGATCCGTTTGCACAATGTCACATTTATCGTTCATCGCACCATCATTCATCGTGATCAACTGAATCGACTGAGAGGAATGGTCGATAATTTTGATGCTTTGAACACATCATCACAGACCTTTTTACAAAGAAGCAACATTTCAAACACTTTTGATTGTGTCGAACTCATTTTACATGATGCTGCATCTGATTTCTATCTTAGATATTTTGTTTTATCTTGCTGAGTTGCAGGACAGGTACAAATGTCAATAATGAACAAGCCAAAATAAACCAATAACATAAAAGGTGTCCTCAGCTTTAAGCTTTAGTTCATAAAATTTTGATCATAGATGTCAATACCAAATCCTACTACTATCTGGATACTATAAGAAGTATAACATTTTTTATGATTTGAGAATGTATAATGTCAAGCAAAAAGTGTACTAGTAACGCAGAGAGATAAGTATGGTAAGTGTGAATGATTCAAAGTTTTTAGAGATTTAAAATCATTTACAATGTATATTCATTACTTTGCAATGTAACACGGAACCAACAAAACACCAACTCAAATACATGCAGACTACCCATTTCAGATTAGTTCATGAGCCAAATGAATACTTAACTCTTGACATAAAGGAATGCATCAACTTAAAAGCAAAAGATAAAGTAAAACAGATAATTGGGGGGGGGATACGCTTTTCTAAGAAAAGAGTGAGCTGATGCACTGCAATAAAGGATCTTATAAACTAACATAACAAACAGTAACTTACCAGTCTGAAATTGTGCTGGCACTGACTGAAATATCCGACCAATAACCACAGACAAAATCGTCATGAGTGAAAGAGCTCCCATTGATCCAAGCAAAACCTAACTCCGAATGCATATTGAAGAAGAAAATAGTTGAAAAGAAAGTAGTGGTGGTAGCTAACAACTCAAAGCAAACTATAACCCATACAAAGGAAAATGAAAAAAATATATAATTTTGCTGCATGATGACAGTTGGAATTTTAGGAAGATTTATTTTTAGTATATTCTATTTCAGTATTTTCTATTTTTAGAATTTAGAACTATTGGCATGTTATAATTCATGATTTATTCTTTTATCATAGTGAGAAATGGTTGATTTTATGATTATTTTCCTATTGTGGGAGTCTTCCCACTCTATTTATCTTGTAATTGTTTCCTCTGTAATCGAATATGAATAATTATTTTTCCCTTCCCAAAATCTAGATAGTATCAGAGCCAACTTTCGCCTTCTCATCGACCGGGTCATCCACGGGTTCTACCCTTGCAAGAAGCCTTCGATTCGCTCCTACCCTTCCCATGTTCACCTAGTAACATCACTTTCGTGACTGACCCCTTGAGATATAGTCCTGATTAGAGCTAGCTACAAAGGCAATGACTGGATCGTGGTGCTCAAATTTCGTCTTCGTGACCGACCCTCTTGATACAATTGTGATTTGAGCTAGCTGAAAAGGTAGATTGTGGCCTTCAGAGACTAGATGTCACCTGATTCGAAGCTCCAATTGTATCATCATTCTTTGTCCTTCCTCTGGGCATGGCATCGACACCAAGGTTCGAAGCTGCACAATCCGAGCCTATATCCGAACAAGGGCCTGTTTTTTCCTCGCCTCAAGGTAGCCACTGCACGTGTACGGTTCTTCTTTGATTCTGTGGATGTCATACAAATGAGCAATGATGGTAGGAGTTCAAAAAAATTCTAACACATCGACCGGGTCGAGTAATTATGAAATCAACTGACCTCACCCTACAACTCTCATGGTTGTATCGACCGACTATTTTCCTCAAAATTTACCACCTTACCCCTCACAGTTATAAAACTTAATGGACACAACTATGTCGAGTGAGCATAATCCATAAAATTGGTAATCAACAAGAAAGGTATTTAACAAGAGAATTTTCAAAACCTACTGCTAGCAATCCGAATCTAAAAAATGGCAGTCTGAATATTTTCTGGTTATGGCATGGCTCATCAACTCCATGCAAACAACCATAGGAAAGCCTCACCTATTCCTGCTCACTAATCGAGATATCTAGTAGGCCGTTCGAGATCTGTATTTATATTTTGATAATTCTTCATAAATTTTTAGTTGAAAACTCAACCTTAAGAATCCAAACAAAATGATTGTTATGTTAATATGTATTATAATAATGAGCTGGTAATATTATGACAAAAGATTGATCAATGTTATAATGACAATTAGGCGAACGTGAATAATTATGCTCGCCACAATAAGAGAGGAAAATGATTGGGTCTACATGTTCTTAGTCGGCCTTAATTGGAGTTTAGACAAAATCCGAGGTCAAATCCTCAATAGAAAACCTATACACTCTCAATTCGAGAAGTTTTTGAAGTTTGACATGAAGAGTTAAAAAGAAAAATCATGTCGTGAAACACTAAATCATCTTGTAACATTGAACATGAGAACTCTGCACTTGTGTCAAAAGAGGTTGATACTGACAAAAAAGAGCGCAATAAACTATGGTGAGAGCATTGCAAAAAACCATGACACATGAAAGATACAAGTGGGAAGCTTCATGGTAAACCTACAAACTAGAAATCAATATCCAAGTGTGAAGGTCAAGCCAATCAACCTACTGCTAAAAAAACTTGGGAGCTTCCTACTAACTCGAATGTAGTCTTTTTCACCAAGGAACAATTAGAGCACTTGCACAAACTATTTAAATCTCCAAAGTTTTCCCTAACTCTGGCTTGCTCCTTATTACAAAAGGATAATTCTCTAGCCAATACTTAGGTGTTATTTCAAATTTTTTCTAACTTTTGGCAAATTGATTCTGGTGCAATTGATCACATGACCAGTTGTTCTAAATTATGTACATTGATAGACCTTGTGCAAACAATAAAATAGTCAAATTCTTTATGGTTCCTTCTCGATAATTGTCGGAATATGAATTGTCAAACTCTCATTTTTAACTCTTCGCAATGTTCTTCATGTTCCTAAACTATTGTATAGTTTGTTGTCCATTAGTAAAATTATTGTTAACAATCAATATGAAGCTAATTTCTATTCTTCATGTTGTAAATTTTAGGAAGTGACATCGTGAAGATGATTGGCAGTGCTAAGAAAAAAGATGAGATTATTATTTTGATTATGAACTTGACTCAAATAGACAATATCAAAGTACTTGTTTGAATTTTGTTTCCGTTTCTAAAGAAAATGGCATTATATTATGGTATTATAAGTTATATTATCTTACTTTTCATAATGTAAAATATTTATTCCTCAAATTATTTCCAAATAAAAAAAACCTTTATTTCAATGTGAAGTTTGTCAATTTGTGAAACATCATCGTGCATCATTTTCTCCACAAGTATACAAACCAGGATATCTGACATCTTTGAAAAAACTTTACACATTCTGAAAAAAATGGCTAATGTGTTTCACTAATGATCACACTAGGTTAAGTTTGGTTTATTTAATAAAAGAAAATTTTGAAGTAGAAATGATTTTGAAAAGCTTTTACACTATAGTATACACACATTTCAAAAAACGTTTAAATATTATGGAGTGATGATGACTGAGAGTATTTCAAAAATTTGATGACGAACTTAACTCAAACAAACAATGAAAGTAATAGTTTAAATTTTGTTTCGTTCACTAAAGAAAAAAATATTATAATATGGTATTATAGGTTAGATCATCCTAATTTTTAGTATCTAAAATATTTATTTCTCAAATTACTTCAAAATAAAAATTTATCATTGTTTTAATGTGAAGTTTGTTAATTTGTGAAACATCATCCTGCATCATTTTCTCCACAAACATATAAACCAACTACACCATCTTTAGCAATCTTCTCTGACTCGTAGGGATATCTAGGGGTTTATCTAATGAAAGAAAATTTTTAAGTGAAAATGACTTTCAGAAACTTTTACACAATGGTATACGCGATTTCAAATAATCACTCAATAAGTACGGAGTGATAATGTGGAGGATATTTCAAGAATAATTTGGGTCAATTTTTTCCCCCGAGAAATGAATAATTAATCGAAGCACCTATGTTTAAATTCCACAACAAAATGGTGTAGTTGAAAGAAAAAACAAGCACTTATTGGAGTTAGCTCGGACATTGATATTTACCAATCAAATGTCTAAATATTTTTAGGGTGAAGTTGTTCTTACTGTTACATTTCTCATAAAAATAACACCTAATAAAGTTTTAAACTTTGAAAGATCTTATAATTTTAAAAACAAAAATTCAAAGAATCGACTCGCATCTTCAATATCTCTTAAAACATTTGGGTGCTATTTTCTTTCACATTCATAATAAAGGAAAGCTTGAACCCTGAGCTAAAAAATATGTTTATTGGTTATGCTCCTAACTAAAAGGGATATAAATATTTTTATCCTAATTCTAAAAAATTAACTGTTGCCATGGATATCATATTTTTTTAATTACAACACTTTGAGTTTTAGATATTTTTTCAAACAAAAAAATCTCAAAAGAATATCATTCCAATCTTGAATGTTGAATCTGAAAGTTCAAGCGATATTATATCAGAAGAGAGTGCATCGATTCTTTTAGATATTCAAATTTCTACAATGTCAACTCAAGATATTCATAACAAAGAAGAAACGGAATAAAAAACTATGATAGTGGAACCGTTTGACATGGCCTAGAATCATTTGCAATGCCCAGAATTCGTTAACCCGTCAGGTAATGTTCTCATTGATCTTTTATCTCATGTTCAGTCCACTTAAACTTTGAGTTATGGGTCTAGTCTTGAATCTGAGCATAATTCAAAACCTAAGTCTAATGAGTCTAACATTCCCATGGGAAAATGTCTTGCACTAAGTATCCATCGTCCCATAATGTGTCATATGAAAATCTCTCATCCACTTTCTGTGTTTTTACCTCACAATAATCTTGTATAGAGATTCCAAATATTGTGCAGGATTCTCAAAAAATTCTAAAGTGAAAGGAGGTCGTCTTAGAGAAGATGAAAGCTCTTGAAAAAAATGACACATAGAAATTGGTTGACTTACCTAGAAGATAGACAATTGTCAGGTGCAAATGGGTATTTACAATTAAGTATAATTCTAATGACTCTCTAGAATGGTACAAAACCTGATTGGTTTTCAAGAGATTCACTCGAACTTAGAACATTGATTATTAGGATACATTCACCCAGTCGCAAAACTAAGCTCTATAAAGGTTCTTCTGTCACTTACAGTTAATCTTGACCGGCACCTACAAAAGTTGGATATAAAAATATCTTCCTCAATGAAGACTTGGTGAAAGAGGTGTTTACGGGTGCACCTCCGAGATTTAGTGAGATGTTTGGCACAAAAGTGTGTAACTAAAAAATCATTATACGAGTTAAACTAGTCAATGAGAGTATGGTTTCAATGTTTTATTCTATTTTTTAAATGTCAGAAGTAAAAGGAAGGGAAATCATACAATGTTCGTCAGATATTCAAATGATGGGAGGATAATCATACTGATTGTGTATGTAGATGACAAAATTCTCACAAGAAATGACGCATACGAGATGAATCGTTTGAAGGCATTCCTATCATCAATTTTTGAAACCAAGGACTTAGAATCTATGAGGTATTCCCTTGGCATAGAAGTTGCCCGATCGAATAAAAGAATTAGTATCTTCCAACGGAGGTATGTTCTTGATCTTCTCCAATAAAATAAAATGAGAGGGTATAAACCTGTAGACATTCCAATTGATCTCAATTAGAAACTGAGAGATGAGAAGAAAGGTGATCCCGAGAATACAATTAGGTATCAAAAATTAGTGCATAAGATGATATACTTATCACATACATGATCAGATATTGCATTTGTGATGAGTATGATAAGTCAATTTATGC